TAGGTTTGGTTATGTTATATCAGGTTACGTTTGGTTAAATTAGGTTAGGTTAGGTTAGGTAGGATTGTTACTTTATTTTAGGGTGCTTTGGCTTAAGTTGGATTAGTTTAGATTAGTTTAGGCAGATCAGATCAGTGTGTTGGATTAGATTGGGTGATGTGCCAGAGAGAGGTCTTTAAAATTCTCAAGGTCACATATTTTGACGCTTATTCCTGCCAATCCTTAAATACCTGGTTGACCATACTCATGTCAAAATGAGATCATGAAAAGTTCAAGTTCATATGGAAGTCACGAGGAGATCGGCCCAATAGTTTGCCAGCTACAGGTCTTTAAAATTCTCAAGGTCATATATTATCACGATTATTTCTGCCAAACGGTGAATACCTGGTTGATCATACTCATGTCAAAATGAGGTCAGGTAAAGGAAAAGGTCATATGATAGTCACAAAACGATCGGCCCACTAGTTTCCCAGATATTGGTCTTTGAAATTCTGAAGGTCATATATTTAACACTTATTTCTGCCAAACGGTGAATACCCGTTTGACCATACTCGTATCAAAACGAAGCCACGTATAGATCAAGGTCATATGGAAGTCACAACAAGATCGGCCCAATAGTTTGCCAGAAACGGGTCTTTAAAATTCTCAAGGTCATATCATTTCACACCTATTTCGTCCAAACCGCAAATCCGTGGTTGTCCATACTCATGCCAAACTTAGGTTACGTAAAGATCAAGGTCATATGGAAGTTACGAAAAGATCGGTCCATTAGTTTCCCAGATATAGGTCTTTAAGTTTCTCAAGGTCATATCTTATCACTCTTATATCTTCCAATCCGTAAATACCTGGATGACCATACTCATGTCAAAATGAGACCATGTATAGGTCAAGGTCATATGGAAGTCAGGGCAAAATCGGCCCACTAGTTTCCCAGATAATGGTCTTTAAAATTCTCAAGGTCATAAATTATGCTTATATCTGCCAAACGGTAAATAGCTGGTTAGCCATACTCATGTCAAAATGAGGCCGTGTATAGGTCAAGGTCGTATGGTAGTCACAACAAGTTCGGCCGAATAGTTTGCGAGATTCAGTACTCATGTCAAAATGAGACCATGTATATGTCAAGGTCATATGGAAGTCAGGGCAAAATCGGCCCACTAGTTTTCCAGATAATGGTCTTTAAAATTCTCAAGGTCATATCATTTCACACCTATTTCGTCCAAACCGCAAATCCGTGGTTGTCCATACTCATGCCAAACTTAGGTTACGTAAAGATCAAGGTCATATGGAAGTTACGAAAAGATCGGTCCATTAGTTTCCCAGATATAGGTCTTTAAGTTTCTCAAGGTCATATCTTATCACTCTTATATCTTCCAATCCGTAAATACCTGGATGACCATACTCATGTCAAATGAGGCCATGTATAAAAGTATATTACTGTATAAAAGTGAATACATAATTAAGATCTGTATATTGCATCTGGGAGGCCGTGGGGAGGGTTTGAACTCTGTGCAGTAGTTCAGTACCACAGCAGTTTACGCGGAACTTCTGGCAGCCAAAGTTGTACTAGGGAAGGCTTTTATCCGCGAAGGCTACTTCGTCTTACCTCTGCCAGTTGCAATTAAATTCTTCATACTCATTTATTACCGCTCGTAAGGTTTTCACAGCCTCTGGCCTCAGTTTTGGGCTTCATCTCTGGCCCAGCTCGCCGAGTTTTGTATAAGGTAACGACGAAAGAGGAAATAAACCTACATTGTTGTATCTCTACTCACTACTGTTTTGTTGTTGATATTACTCGAATACGTATGTATTCCTTCCCGTTGCAAATAATCAACTATGTCGGTTTATTTAACAACGCTTTATCTATTGCACAACATCGAACGGTAATAATTGTTAAAGTGCGAAGCAAATGAAATCTGTTATGGTTTAAGGTACATTGTGTGAATTCTTGCGAATGTACATGAGGAAATTTAAGGTACATTGTGTGAATTCTTGCGGATGTAAATGAGGAATACCAGTCATGACAACATGTTTCCAGGTTATAAATAAAGGGGAACAGACTTAAAAATAGCAGATAAAGAACAAAAGTAGTAATAAACGAGTGAAAATAATAGAATGAGAAGCGGGAAAATAGGAAGTGAAACTAGAAAGTAGAAGAGGAAGAAGACAAATAACCAGACAAACTGAACTACTTATTATTATCGCACAGGAAACTACCATTCATTTGCAACTTAAGACTACTTATTAGTGTCTACTTGCGTCTGAAAGGGGGTTGAAAACTTACGAACGTCTTTGTAACGGTTAACGTGAGCAAAGCAATCCCAAGAGGGAAGCAACGGTTGACGAGGAGGAGAATTTAGTTCCTTTGCGCAAACCGTCAGACTAAAGCGGAGACAACGACAACCAGGGTTTGTAATCACGCTAAGAGCTTACCGCCCACCTCCTACGATGCTTCGAGGCAAAGACAATAAGCAGGCGCCATTGTCGCAGACAATACAACAGCTGCAATTTAAACCCCAATCATCCGTTTCCATTTTAACATAATGAAATCTGTTTACGTAGCAAAGTGGGATAATATGCCTATAAAGTTTCATATTACACGAGAATTCTACAAGCTGAAACACTAAATTGGTATATAGAAGTGGAAAAATTTCATTTTATACGAGAGTCAAAGATTGTCTGGTGTATGAATCAACAAAAACTGTCTCATAAGAGAAACGAATTATCTGTCACCTATCGACAATCACAAAGATTAAAATACAAATATCTCCACTGTCGCTTTGCTAGTCAAGACGTTCGCTGCTTTTGAGGTTCATCACTGTGTTCACAATATCCCACCATTGACCCCTATACTGAGTCAGACAAATCCACTACATACCCTTGTGTTTCTGTCTATTTATTTCAGATCCATTTTAATATTATCATAGCATTTACACCCACGGCTTTTGTATGGTCTCGCCATTTCATTTTTTATGACATAAAAATGTTGTTTGGATTTATTACATCTCTCATCTTCCGTCCACCGATTTGATACCTCGAATCTGTGATCTCCTATGCACCTTATTCTGGAACACAATTTTGTTCTTCCATTGATGCAAGAGACAAGGTTTCAAACAAAACAACAGGTAGGCTAAATTTATATGTTATTACTAATTTTATTAAACTTACCAATGAATTTACAACATTTGTAATGTTATCAATTCGTCAATGTCATATGCCTGCAGGTGTACTAAAAAGATTCAGTTTCAATATGCTCTGTGATGTGGAAAATTACAGACCTATTGTTTGTTTGGGAGCAGTATTGCAAACAAACAGAAAGGGAACCAAGCCAGTCTGATCTCGGATCCAGACCACATGTCAATACAAATACAATATTCCGGGTCGGATTTTCAAATGATAACGTACTAATTGAGCCCTAAGTTACGTGCATATGAGTAGCTTGGTTTATTAATGGTTTAATTAACATTCTCTGAACTGCAAAAGGTAGGCCTATTTAATGGGATTTTAATGAATTATAAGTTGTGAATAAATTTTAAAGAATAGATCGTACTCTATTTTAAGGTAGTTTCAGCATCTGCTTAGAAGAAATTCCGAAAATTCTCAACGGAAAACCTCAGTGACTATAGTCAGCATCGACTGAGAACTCCAGACCTCTCGAATAAGAAACAGTAGCGACAGTCCCTCAACGTTTCGGTAATTAGTTGGTTAGGTATGTAGGAACGTAGGTTGTACTTTGGATTATGCCATTAAAAGTCTGACCACATCCAGACCGCCTGACTGGCGTCGACACAAGCTGAACAGCGGATACTATAAACAGCTGTGCGTTGTACAGAAACCTCAACACACACACACACACACACACACACACACACGCACGCCCATTAACGTGAGAGGCAAACAGCCATGCTTTCAATTACGCTGTGTATGTTCAGTAATTCCATGAACGAAATGTGTTTATACTGGCGTAGCCTTAATGAGATGGTTACTTGTAGAAACAGCCGTAAAGTTTGCAGAAAACCCAGGATGAACTGAACCTACAGGGATATTAACATCACGTGCAAGATTTTCACCAATTAATTTCACGGAACAATAAGTTTGATGCGTCGACTAATTAATAAAAGATTACCTGGAAAGAAATTGGATGGAGGTCTATACGGGGTAAGCGTCACTGTACAACGAATTAGTTTCATGTTGCAGTTTCTTTGTTAATAAGTAGATACTAGACCAGACGGAAGAAAAGCCCCCCTCCCCATTTTACTGTCCCCAAAGATGCATTAACATGTTCATAAAACCCCGCCACTGGACCCCGTTCTGAGCTGCTTTAATCCAGGCCAATCTTTCATGTTCTATTTCTTTAAGGTCCATGTAACAATTTTAAGATATGAAGATTTCTGTCTTCTGGGTTGTTGCGCTGTGTAATCTGGTAGATGTTTACCAACGTTTCAGAGGTCATACTGCCTCCGTCATCAGGGCAACAACCCAGAAGACGGAAATCTTCATACTCACCGCTGTGAAAACCTCAAATCATACAATTTCAAAATATTTTGTAAAGTTTAATCTTCATAAGTGATGTTATCTTCCCTCAAAAATATGGAAAACTGTTTGAGGGAAGTTGCCAGATAACACAACGGCCATATCGCACGTACAGAGCGACTGGTAAATGACAGCTATTATAAATGATTTGATTTTGTTATTGAGAGATAGTAAACTGGTTTCTGCAGAGAGTGAAAGGTCAGAGACGTCTATCATTAGCACTTTACTATGTGACAGCAATAAACTATAAGCAGATAATCGACTACTAGAATTACACTTTACATAAAAATCAGCTATAAAATTCTGAATAGATTTTATTTTATTTTATTTATTTTAAGACTTGTTCGCAGGATGTGCATAAAATAATTGTACAGCCCACCGAGGAAATCATAATCTATGTAGTAACTGCAGGGATTATGGGTAATTATACTCCATAAATTATCAGGAAGATTAATTCTAGTTGTCTAAAGTAAGCCTCAGAAGCAGGAAGATTAATTCTAGTTGTCTAAAGCCTCAGAAAGAATATTTTACAAGAAATATAAAATGGAGTAAAATATTCCTGAAAACTTGTTATTCGTACAAGTAAACTTTGTTCGATATGAAATACGCCATGATTAAGACCGACGACTTGAATTTCAGTTTTATGTATGAATTTATATTTTAAAAATGCAAGCAATATAATTCCCTATTATTTTTAATTAGGCCCATCTACAATTGACATTCAGGCTTCATAGATCTCTACGACGCGAATTTGTACCGCGTGAGTTCAGTACAAGGTGTGTAACATGAAAGAAACGAAGAAATGTATTCATATCTCCAATCAATGTGTAAGAAGGCAATACGTCAATGCAGGTAAGTATAGAGAACACATATAATGTATGCTTTTGATTTTAACATAATATAATTCCGGTTTGGTTCCTAAACGAAAGTACTTCCACCGACTAACACAACGGTACAGGTCAATTTTAATATTATCCTATATTATTATAACATCTAAGTTTCAGAGTGACTCAGTCCCTTGTTCCCCGATCGAAATTATGTATTGAACCGCCATTTCCCGTCCTGTCCAATTTATCTTCTTTTTGTTAATAAACGACCTTAAAAGAATTATATGACGAGGGCAAATTGTGAAGCTCCACATTATATAATATTATCTCTCTTTTTAGTACTTCATCTTAGGTCCAAATATTCTCCTGAGCACTTTGTTTTCAAGAGCCCTTAAACTTTGTTCTTCCTAAGGATTAGAGACCAAGAATCTCGAATATAGTTACCACGAACATAAGACTTGTTCTAATGACTACTCATGCCGACTACGTAAAACCTGTACTTTACCCTGATGTTGCCTGTTGATCAACCTCCGGCCAAGACTGCCTCCTCCGACAAAACATGAGTGGTTGTCTGGAAATGCCTGTAGACCCTGGAGTCGTCGCCTGTTGCTGCTGTTGATTTGTCTTCCTGAAGGATCCAAGTCGTCGCGGAGGTCCTGCTCCCGGGGGTAACACGAGTCCAGGAGGCGGTGGGCATTCGAGGGTACGCCGACGTACAGACAGGGAGCGACTGTGAGGCGGGGTGACAGTGCCGGGTGGAGGGACCACTTTGGGGAACCCATGCAGCAAACTCGGCCCACTGTGCGCTGCTGGACTTACTATCACATTACCGGCGGATGCACTTCTACCACTGGTCACTGCACCGCTTGAACTTCCGGCAGAACCCGGTGTTAACGGAGGATGGCTTCCGGTTCCATCTGTACTGCTTTCGGCGGAAGAATCGCGGCTCAGAGAAAAACGTTTTGGACTTAAACTTAAGTTTGCAACACTGCTGGTCACATATTGTTGTAGAGAGTTAAAGAAACTCATTGTATCTGCGTCTATTACAGGTCCTCAGGTGAAAATTCAGAAATCAATCCTCAGATCTTTCAGTCTGGCTGTTATGCAATGGGCGGTCTTGACAACACTATTGCATCGTTCACCTCTTAATATATCAACTGTTTTCTTTTAACTGGGTTGTCTATTTTCACTTCTTCAACGGGATTTCCTTCTCCTTTCCAAAGGTTTGCGCAACAACTGATAGATCCAAACAGCGGAGTGCCTATTGACTAACTCCACTTTAGTAACACCTCTGTAAACAAACTTTTAGTGAGACGTAAGATTAAAGCATGTCCCCAAATTTAACAGACGTGTTCTCTTCAACCTCTGATATTTAAATATGTTTCTTCAAATCCTTTCTGATATCTTCCGTTAACTGATTGTAGCGGCACCTGACCCGCTGTTCTGCGTCAAAAAGTGTCACGTATTTTTAAAGCAGAAACAAAAATAAATTATTTCCACACATTTCAGCTAAACCATAATACATCTAAATCTACGTCGAAAATTGTTTTTGTTTGTTCTACATTGTTATGAATTTCGTCTTTAGTGCAACTGATAAAAGATAATGTCTCGAATTGATTGCACCTAAAACCAACTAAACAGTCACTGAGAGCTGAAACATATAACACGAATGAAATTGTTAACATAAATCTTCACTGTTCATGTTGCAGTACTTGGATACCTTACAAACACAGCACAGAAATGTTTTTCACTCAAGTGTTATATGAGTTGCACTCGACAAAAATTCAATAGCACTCAATACTGTTCGTGCCAAAAGATTTCCTAGTGTAGGAACTGAACAACTCTAACTCCAAAGTTCAATTTTCCTTGCGAACGCTGTCTAGTTGGCTTGCCAATCAACAGATACCATCCTTCCCATCGACTTCAGCTGATATGACAACGCAGGGCCCGCACTGAGTAGATTAGAAACAGAGAATTATTAATACATAACACGTAATTTAGAATTATATTAAATTTCTTAACATTAAAATTAAAACTTTGAATGATAATTTTACAAATGTGTGTATATAAAATTCTAAAAATACAAAGAAGTGGTTTAGCCTTGTGATTTGTTAAAATCGCATCTTAAGTCTTTTTCTCTAACTTTTTAAACTTTCTACGACAGGTTCGTGTTTTACGTACACATTTCATATTACTATGACTACATTTCTATACAGTGAAAAGCCACGAATGTAGTGTCACGAAACTGTGTGCCAAAATGTGGGAGGTTATTAATTCAGTCATCTACATAGCCACTCCTTTAATATGTCCTCGGAAGGAATTTATTCAAAAAGAATCATGGCTGCTGCTGCTGCTCGCGTGTAGAACAACTATGACGACGTGTAAAAGACGTACGAAACAAGTTTTGTTGTAAAACAAGCAAGATCGTGCATAGATAATACAGGTAATCTGAAACTAAAAACCAATCAATCAAAAGTATTCTACCTAGCCATTTTCTTTGTTTTTCCTGATTTTTTAGTAATAGCAGCTATTTCCGAAAATACAAAGAAAAGAGCAACGACTGAGAATCTGACTCATGCAGATACTGAGTTCCTCGATTTGCTATTCTAAAAAATAAAATTGTTTAACCCTTTATTCTTATCTAAAAGGCAACTAAATTGAATTAAATTTCCTTCTAATCTAGAGAACGTGGTGTTTTATTCTCTCGATTTCACTATCATAAGGATCAATTTGAGTTGTAGAACATGGCTCAAGCCAGAAACCTTAAACATGGGACTGTCATAAAAATGAATGGTAGGAAATAAATCTCCGAACTGTCGAACAGTACATAATATCCCATCCCACATCGAAACACGCTCACGATTTAAGTGGTAAAAGAAATCTCAGTATCGAAGACATTGCTATATAAAGCCATCTCATTCCTCAAAATTTCATGTCACTTTTTCATCTGGTTAAGATATAACAAGAATGTAAATATATTGGCGCTATGCGCTTGTTCCTATAATGATAGCTAAACCACACAGAGATTTCAGCCCGTGCTATATAGTCT